AATTATTAGACTTGGTAACAGACTGAAAATGATCATTATAATTGTGTTCGATCATATCCCACAATTATTATTTTTTTTCAAAAGCTCTGGCCATATTCATTGCGTGCATAAGAGTGGTGAGTGATTGTATCTCAACTTCCAGCCTGATTGAGTTTACCAGACCCGCAGTAAACGTGTCAACTTACTACTAGTCTTGCTGTACTTTATGGGCAGGGGTCAAGAGTCTCTGAAACTGTTGTATTTAGTCCTCCACTGTGCCCGTTTGTTTTAGGTTGATTACTCTCCTAATGAATTGTTCTGCAGAGGCGGATCAAACCGCAATGTGCAGAGTTCAACAAAGTGGCCCCATGATATCCCTGTTTTCTCCTGTTGCAGTTTGTAGTACCAAAGTTGAGCATTGCCTAACAAGTGGAAGGCTGTCAATCTAACCTTGTCATTGTTAGCCATTTTTTTATTAATAAAAAATTGTTTGCAACGATGGAGTAAAGCCAATGGGTCGTCCTATCCATCGTTGGTGGGATAATCATGTTTTTTATAATGAGGAATCCATCTGTTATGGGAACTGATGCTGGATTCTTCGCCCCTTGGTTTAGTGTGCTGCCTTTCCCCTCCCTGATTTTGATTTGAACCATCGTTGTCAGTTTCTATGTTATCAATTTCCTCTTTTTCTTGGATTTGAGCGGTTCGGTTGAGAAGAAGTTTTAATTGTTGTGTGATTTGACGCAAACTTTCTTTTGTTACAGTTTCAGAAGCGGCCATCCGACATTCTAGATTTTCCAACTCTTCATGTAAACTTTGCACGCCCATGGTGCCTTGTTTTGATACCAAATTGTTATGTTTTATGATTATAAATTGAGTCACCGAGTGGTTAACAATAAAGTCGTCTTCTATTAAAGGGTTAACACTCTTATTCTTATTGTGAGAGCGATTTGTTTTGTGAAAATAAATTACAGCTCGTCAAAGGGAGCTGCTACCTTGGATCTTGTTAAAGAGAGCTCCAATCTTTTAGTTTAAAATAATATTTTGACTTGTCTTTATTAATATCAAACATACCCCTTTATATAGAGATTACAATTTTTATTTAGAAATGTTAATTTAATTTGTAATCTAAATCTAATTAGGAATATTCTGCTAAAATATTAGAAATCCTACACTATTTAGGAATCAAGTACTAATGGAAAATATATATATTATTTAGAAATCTAATACTAAGTAGGATTTCAACTATTTAAGAATCTAATACTAATCAGGATTCTGTATTTAATTGAACATCAATTTCCTATTCAAGCTGCATCTTCTATCTTTGCATCCATAACAGATAACCCCCATCACTTTATGATTCTTTTCTCTCCCAAAAGAGTCAATATTAGTTTACAGTTCAAAACTTGTGATAACTTATTGACCGACACATGATTAGTACACAGTTTAGAAGCGTGTAATACATTTTTTAGGATAATGGTAGGACTAACCTTAATGTCTTCTTACCTACAATAGTATTAAGGAAACTATCTATAATGACAATCTTTTTATTACTTAGACATGTAACGTATGTATGAAAATATTTAGAAGTATTGTCCTATGATTTGTAGCTCTTGAGTCTGCAATTTAAGATTTTTTTAAGAGTTTAGCTGAGACATTAGTTCATGTGAGGTAAAAGTGATATCTGGGTGATGTGTATTCTATTGAATATTATTTTTTAACTAATATTCTATTGATTATTACAACCTTATATCTACAAGTTTTTTTAGAATAGAAAAGGAAATAAATAATAAATTACAATTAATTATAAATGGCATAATTTACCTTTATCCCCTTCAACATAATTTACCATTTCTTTAACAAGAGCCATATAGTACAGTTCTCATTCCTAGAAAGCCACTTGCATTTTATTCATCAAGGATGTAATCACATGATACCATTTCAGTGCTCACAATATGATGTTGCTTGCCAGAATATTAATACTTGAAAATTTTTAAGAAAAATTTGACTATACTTGAATAAGTTAAAATTAGTAACTACTTATGTTTATGCAAGTAAAAAAGGGATAGGATCTTTCAGATCTATATAATGAAGTTCTTTATTAAGCAATAACAATAATCAATAAAATTATACTGACTTTTTACTTTAGGCCTGTGAAACACCATAGCAAATTTCAAGGGCTTGAGAAGACTTAGCTACTTCTAATTTGAGTCAGGTATATATCAGTTGCAAAGATAAAAAGAATAGTGCCTAAAGCTGCACAGTTGAAGGGATAGCTTTCATCCCTCAGCTGAACCCTTGACATTAACTTAGCTTGTTTCAGCTCTCAGTTCGGGGCCATCAAATCTTCATGTATACATTGGTACCCTGAAGTTCATTGGCGTGCCTGTATTTGTCTTCATTTGCTTTTGTGCTTCCCAATCGTATTCATTTTAATGTTGTGAGTTATGGATGTCAAAAGTAACTAATTCAGTCAAGATTGTGCTTTTACGTAAAACATTGTGCTAAATGGTGTTAATATTTCACGATTGACATCTCAATATTGAACATCCCATAAAATCTGACAGGTTTTGTAGGAAGAATATTGTCTGACAGGGTTTGATCAGTGATTGCTTTCTGTATTCGCTTCCAGAATTCAAATGCAGTTTTTTTTGTTCTATCCACTTGCAGTCAAACGCAACCTTGATCAAGCAAAAACTATACTCGAGGCTCTGATTAAGGTGTCCCTTCTAGTGTTGAAAAAGATGATATAGATTGGTTTAAGTGTTCAGTAAGTGGAGTGTCTTGTTTTACTTCAAGTGCCCTTATGTTGCCATCTACTGCATGCAGAGAGAAGAGAAAAAGAGAGATGTCATGGAGAGTGAAGTTAGTCTTCAGAGGATCCAGATGAAGTATAAGGTATTAAATTGATGTCTTGTGTCCTCCTCATCTTTCTTTTGATAGTTGTCATGAATACTGTCAATAACTTTAAAAATCTCATCTGAATTCTGTGTTTTCTGGCTCTTTTACGAAAACAGACTAATAAAGGAATATAACAAGAAGTTTGGGCTTAATCTCTATATGGTACTGGGAAATGAGAAACAGCTATGTCGGGAATTTGATATGATATTTATGTGTTTATGCATATAGGTGGCATTTAGTCACTTTGCCACCATATGATCTTATACAAAGTTTGAAGTTTTTTTTAATGTTTTTGGTCTATGCAAAACAGTTTGGTTTCAATAAAATAATTGTAAATAACTGATTTTTTCTTTTCTAATGTTTTTGATCTATGCAAAACAGTTTGGTTTCAATAAAATAATTGTAACTGACTTCTTTTCTGATTTTTAAGCATGAAACGGAGCTCCTAGAAGATAGCTTGGCATTTCCAGGATTTCCGCCAACCACCTCTTGCAAGTTTGGTTCAAGTGAAGATGAATTTATGGACTCAGATGATCATGCAAACAGCCGTCCACATGCTCGACCTTCTGCAGTTCTGAATCCACCTTTCACAGATTCCAACCTGGGCGTGGCTCCTGCAATAACCATGAAGCAAGATATTCGGCGGCGTCATACTCTGCATGGCTGGCTCCACAAAATGGTATTATCTCTCTTGAAGTCAAACTGTCAAACTGCAGAGTTTTTGACAAAAAATTGATCCTGCAATTCGACATAAGGGTTGACATAATTTACCACTTTTGTGTTAGTTAATTGGTTTATGAAACATCATTCGGAAAGTATCTTTTTGCAAATTTCTTTTTGAACTCTGGATTCTGGACTTCGCATTGATCTGTGGGAGTTTTTTTATGGCTTTATGTAGGACCCTCTTGAACCGGTTTTATTATTTACAAAACCTCTGGTTCCAGATAAGTTGGCAGCAGCAGGCATTGTACCTCCTTCAGTTTCTTCAACAAAAAATAGTGCATCTGGTCCGCGATTCAAGTTTCATGGACGAATTGGTCGGGGGGGACGAATAGTTTTTGATAGATGGAATCCCCTTATGCAACACCAATAGATTGTGGTAATTCTTTTTACATACCACCAAAACCTCGGTCCACAACATATAACTAATTTATTTTGTTGCTTGGTCCCCCTCAGAGCCACACTTAAGAATCCCATTTGTGTAGAGAATTTATTGGTGTTTATTCAGTAGGCATACAGAAGGGCCAAGTGAAACCATGGGGCTAGTGAATATTTTCTTAGGCCTTTTCATGGGTGTTTTATGCCTCAGCGGGAATTCAAGTTTGTTGTATCTTTGCCCAAGCCTTCTGGGTGCAGTGCAGTGGTATATGTTCTGTTATGGAGTTTGGAGTCAGGGCTCACTCTCCAAATTAGGCCAAAAAAGAAAAACTTCCCTGTACCTTGTATTCTTGTTAGTTTCCTATTGAGCATGTCAAATGCCTTTCTCATACATATGTTATATTATATATATATATATATATGTATATATGTTATATACAAATATACATTCATAACAGAATGCGAAGAATGGCAAAGATAGTATTTCTGGATCCACAGTTTGGTGTAATCATGTATTCAGTAACATCTGGAATTTTCCAACTCTGACAGAAGCAGTTTCTTTTTTCTGCTTCAAAGGTGTAAGGTATTTGGAAAACAAACCGAGTCTTTTATTGTTGCCAAAATTCCTTTTCTTGAATAGTTTTTTATGCTAAACTTAGAATGTAGCTGCAAAATTTGGAACTGATTCTGAATGAATCTAGTGAGGTGGATAGTTTACATCCTTTGTAGTTTGTTAGAAGTAAAAACTTAAATCAAAGCAAGGGTAAATGGTGAAAAATTACAAGAGATCACATCCAAACCTATATACACAAATCACCTATATATATATATGTATATTCTTATGCTGTATCAGGCTATTAGCTAAGTTTTTGTGAGGTGTCTTTTAGTTGCGTTTCAAAATCATTACCTCTGCGATATTGAAGTTAAGGTTATGTTATTATAATGATTAGGAGGGAAAAAGTGTCAGAAAATTTTTTGATGCCAAGGCTGTGTGTAACTGCAACCATGTCTTCTAGATTTTTATCATTTAATTCAACTAAATGCTTGTTTCAATTTCACAGATTCTATATGAGATCAATTTTTTGAAGGTAATTACAAAACATGATTTAAATATGTGTTATTTTTATAAAAATATAATTTTAATTTCAAATTATCGAAAATGTGCTGAATTTGTACTAGTAATTAACAGAGTTAATTTTATATTTAATAACCAAATATTCTTGCTCATTTATCTCTTTCTAAAAGAAGATATAACTCGTTACTTTTTAACAAAAATAGTCTCATTAATTTTTTTAAGGTCAAAATAATTCTTATATCTTAATTTATTCATAGATAAACTTGAATAAGTAAAATCAAAAGTTATTGATGTTATCAATACAAACCCAAATCAACATTTGGGTTTTTCACTATTAAGAGTCCTTGTATGATGGGTTTCTCTCAACATCTTTGAGTTCTTTAGTCAGTCGTTTTTTAACTCTTTAGGTTGATATCAACTTCCTTCTATAATGGGTTTTCAAGTTGATATCAATTTTTTTATTTGTTGACATCTTTTTTGTTTGACTTTTTTTCCTTTAAGTTATTCTTTTTAACTTTTGTATCTTTTTTTTTTAAATGTTTGTATTAAAATGTCTAGTGCGCATTGTAGGTTTTATAATTTGGCTACAGTGTGGTGGTGAACTTTACAACATGTCGGTCTTTAAGGATTTGTGTTCAGTATGGAAACACTATTAGTTCCTACTTAAACCATAACCCTTATGGGGCTAAAGCCGTGTTTCTGAATTTTTCTTGTGATGATAGTACAGGAAAGGATGATAGAGTACTAGTTCTTAGCTGGAAGAGTGCACACGGAAATAACAATTATTACTACAACATTTTCTGAAATGATGAAAA